AAAATGAGCCCGAGGAAACTCTAGAAGACCGAAGTTACCGTGGAGTGATAAGAAAATATATCTCTGCATGTTTTTTACGAGATTACTACAAGGTAATATCGGAATACTTAGAGACATATCGACGATATGACTGACGTCAAGCGGCTTCCATCGCGTGTACACAAATATGTGACACCACTGTACACTATGACAAACCTCGAGGCATGGAAGATACGATACGAGAGGGCTGCAAGACAGACGGATGAAGGCAGAAAACGAATCTGAAAAACGACTTATTGTATTAATTCAGATTTCAGAAGGTATGACTACCGAAAAATGCGCAGTAATCATGAATCAAATAGAGCAATGGGCACTTGCGCAAGGTAAAACGGTTCTGGTTAAAGAATTGAAAGAGGAGATTAACCATATTATTCTCTTTCAAATGAAAACGGAACACAATCTAATATTTACCGAGTATGGAGATAAGATGGAAAACGACCTCACGGTTGACAACCACTTCATTGAGAATGGAACACCCTTATCGCAGTAAAAGGTACACAGTTACAGTATATGACTCAACTAAAAAAGCTCGAGACCAGAGCCAGGATGCATGAACCACCACCTTCGCTAAATGTAATTGATATAAAACTCCAAACGAAAATCAAAAAGGGAGACCCCGAAATGCTTGTAATTCAAAAGGATTGGGATATGTTTATCCTACAAGTAAAAACAATCATGCTAAAATGCATGATTGATGCCAAAAATCTGGAAATCAAAAAGATTGATGATCAAATCATAATGTCTAAAGCGACACTGCCACAAGAATATCAAGGAATTCTTGACAGAATTTCCACAATAAGAGAAAAGATTGAAGGTAGGAATCTTGAGGCCAAGATCCATTTTTTAGAACACAGATTAAAAGAAGCCAAAGGACGGTAGTTAAGGCTGGCGCCTGTCACTCCCATCATTCCATGTACGGTCTACTACCGCAGCCGACGAATACAGCAATATCATTGACATCTTCTCAAAAAATGATATTGCGAAAAGATCCAAGGTATGTCTACTCCAGCTATGCAGAGGCACTGCGACGATTACTAGGTGAAATAAAAGTCATAACTGACAACATAAAAAACAAGTATGAACGTCAACCGACTCATCCTGGATTCGTTTTACCGATGATCGATAATTTTGCACAGAAAGTATTGACTATTTGAAAAAAGGCTTTGCTCAAGTCCAATGCAAATATGCAAAGAGTTGCACATCGTTACAGCAACTTAGAGACAGACAACGTAAAAATGAGATACTGTTTAGGCAGACAGATAAATCTAAAGTACTAAACATTGATTTACCTCAAAATTATGAGAAAAAATCAGACATCTATATGGCTAGAACCGACGCCTATATGGAAATCAATGAACATCCGTTGAAAAGAATGATTGAAAGTACGAACTTGCTGCTAACTGACTTATTGAGCAAAAACAGTATACGAGAAGTTGAAACCACCTCAAGACTGTGAGCTACCTCATTTATATTACAACCCGAAAGACCATAAACCAGGCGCATCATTGAGACCAATAGTAGTGCAGATAAAATCCCCTGTGGCATGTATATCACACTTTTTAGACAAAACATTGAGACCGATATTTGAATAGCATACGGCTCATTATACATTACAGAATACAGATGCGTTTTTGAACCATCTCGAAAGGTATTCCATGACTGAAGATACATACTATTCTGGCCATTTTTGATGTAACTGATTTGTATACGATGATCCCCCGAAACAGTCAGTTTTCGCGGTGTGTACACTACTAGCAGCGCGTAGAAAGTTTAAAATTGATAACATATCAATTGATACTTTCGCAAAGTTGATTCGACATGTGTTAGACAACTCATATTTTGCATATGGAGAAAAACTTTTCAAACAAATAAAGGGAGGTGCCATGGGCAGCGCTGTAACTCAGGTATTGGCAGACGTATATATGTATGAATGGGAGAAAGACTTCTTAGCACAGCAGACTGCTGAAAACCAGTTATACCTGCGTTTTAGAGACGATATTTTTATCACCTCAAGGTTGAGGCCAGAAAAACTTGAGGATAGATTAAAATTTTACAACGAAAAAGACCCACATATAAAATTAACATATGAGATAGGCAAGACTGCTAATTATCTGGATGTCACAATTTCTGTACGTTGCCCGACGGCACGAACGATAGTCTATCGAAAACCAGCGGCACAACCATATGTATTACCGTATGACAGTGCACATCCAAGGCATATAAAAAAGAACATCCCATATGCTGCTTATATTTGTGTCATTCGTATCCGCTCAGACATAGCAGATTGTTTAAGAGAATTTTCAGAGATAAGATACAGATTGCTGCTCAATAAGTATCCATCAAGTTTTATTGATCAGCAATTTAACAGACTTTTGAATGACATTCACAGTCTGGATCTTACGCATTTCACAAATAATTATGAATGCATTCGAGTAAAATTACGTCAGACGGACTGGAAAAGGAGAGACCCCTACTGAGACAGAAAAAGCTATTAATTGGAACAGAGATGTCCTATTCCATTTGTCGTCATCATCATCATCGTCATCAGACAACTGCAAGGGCGTCATAGCGTGTGCAGTCGATCACATTGTCGAGAATCGGTTTTCTTTTACCCGGCCGGGATGATTAGCCCTCGACCAGAAGCTAGTTTTAACGTCGCCAGCTCGACTTAGGCACTATTCACCCACGAATAGTGCCTGTAATATACGAGGAATGGAGATAGATGTTTGACGACACCCCGTTAACTCTGGAATTAATGGTAGGTTGTCGGTTGACGCCGAACTTAGCATGAACCCAAATTCAGAAGAAACCTTCATCTTCAATACTGCAAGGAGTAGAGAGGTCAAATTCGTGAGGCCAAGAATGTTCTCGACGAGATGTCAAATATGTTTTTAGCGATAAGGAGAGCGGTATATAATGCCAAGGCTGGCCAACACCAAATCACAACTTTAATAGTAAAAACATTTTCTCCTTCTACTCATTTATTCATATATTATTGATTATTGAATAAAAATTGAACATGTTTTTTGGAGGTAATAAACATGATTCTCACGCACAGACGGTGCAGCATGTCGATGATAAACACAAAGAGACGTTACATGTGGTTATCAATAATGAAATAGGCAGACGCCTAGAGGAGCATCAAAAACAACTCGAAGATCTTGCCCATCGGGTACACCCGACATGGCGAGATATTACATTAATCATGTGTATTGTGGTAGTCGCCCTCATATTGGCATATGCTATTGTAAAATTTGCTTTGACAAGTAAATTCAAAAAATTGACCTTATTACGAAAGATGATGTCGGCACGTGAACGAACTCCGCAGATTCCACCGGTATATACTATACCAGTAGAACAATACGAGCAGTTCAGACGAATGGAACCGGTGCGACAACCGGAATCGGCAAGACAGCAAGGGCAGCCAAGTCAGGTTGCACCTTAAAATCATGAGTATGAATAATTGACTCTGGGACGGGAGTATAAGGACATTTTTAGGCAACAAAAATCACTTAAGCAAGTAAGAAAACAAATAACAGATGCATATCAATAGAACGAAAACAAGTGTACATTCTATCATGTGCAGAACGATCATTCACCAGAACATCGAAAGACATTCCATTTCATTACATCGAAAGACATAAGACATTTCATTCAATTACATCATTTTGTATCTAGTTTATATCGACGTATAAAAATATTTTTTTGTATATATAAAATAAGAGACCTTCCTTTTAATTTCATACAGTTTTTTGTTAACCTCTGAAGAAGAATTCGAAACCGGTCAGGTTAATAAAAAACAAAAAACAAATCACTTCTCGTTGTTATTGTCTGACAACCGTGCAACGGCTACAAAAAATACATGGCCGCAACCTGGTATAAACATCGACAACATCACTGCACGTGAGTACTACAAACAGATTCAAGTTTACTAAAATTTCCAAAAATCAAAATTCATTCATCGATGCTTGCTGTTAGGTCAAGAGACCCAAGATGGACAGAGATACTGCAACGTCACTGTACTATTGCGTGATTATATAAAAGAAACATTTCCTTTCTAGGAAATGTATTGCATATAGTCACTATCTCATCATGCCATCCTGTGGCACCATTGTATATATTACATCATGTTTTTCTGTTACGTTCTTTCTCGCCTATATATACATAAGCTTATACTGTACCAGAGAGAGTGCTTTTTCTTTCTTAACAAACCGATTGTATATACAAGTCAAGATTTGAACAAGTTAGGTGAAACCTAACAAATGGTGCACTAGCCAAACTTTCATTCTGACGTATGGTCATGACCAGAGCAGCCGAACAAGCGATCTTACAGCAGCAACAAGGACTTCTGGATTATTATTTACTTGATTTTGTTAACGTTGAAATCGAACGGACACACCATCTTACATCACAGTCTCAAACTACGTTTATTTATCAACCAAAAGAATTTATGATGGCAGATGCAGTAGTCAAAGATTTACTCGTTGATAAATTGAAAAAAGCAAATACATTCAGTGAAAGAATTTAACAGGATGTTGATCTGTGATTACGTGATATGACCGTTTCCTTTGATATGGGAAAATTGGGTCCTAGTCAAGCACTACAAGTTGTACCGAGCTTTCTTACGGACAATGCTTTAGAATGGTATCTAAATAATCGTGTCATCATTACAATATGGATGAATTTGTTCAACATCTTCGAGCTGCATATCAATCACCAGCTGCTAAACAGATTGCTTCACAAAAACTTGGTAATCGTAAACAAGGATTACATGAACCTGTTACTGCATATTATACTGATATTATACGTCTATGTAAAACCCTCGACGATCGAATGACTGATACATCTAAACTCGATCATCTACAACGATGTTTAAAACCATCTTTAACCAAAGAAGTTTTACGTAAAAAGCCAATAACACCCACTGAATTTTTAGAATATGCCCGAGAAGAAGAAGTTCTAAATCAATTGGTTAATGCCAACGAATCTGATTATACTGAACAACAATTGGATAAACAAATACGTGTTCAGGAATTTACTAATCAACCGCCATATAATTATTCATCATCAAATGCGCCTTATCAACCTCGATATACATCATCATATTGTTATCCGACTCCTCCGTCACCATCGGCTAATCGTCCTCCTTCGCCCTATTATACAAAGTTATCCAGCATCACGTCCTCCTGCTCTTTGTTGCTATAATTGTAATAAAACAGGACATTATGCTCATGATTGTTGGCAGCTAAAAAAGCACTAACAGAGACACTTGCAGATGGTAGTGCCTCTTCGGACTTAATCAGCCCATCATTAATCTTTATAAACACTTTCATAAATGGACATAACATTTTAGCTTTATTAAATACTGGCGCTAGTCAGTCTGTTATATCCGAAAAAACGTTACGAACAATAAACAAGTAACATTATTATTATCCTTCACAAAAATTAACCCTAGGTGACGGAAAAACATCATTAGATACCTGTGGATCCATTCAGCTTAACATCGCTCTTCCGAATCTTACCACTCAAAGCAACGCTTTAGTAGTCACCGAATTAGCAGCAGAACTTATTTTGGGAGGTGACTGGATTAAGAAATAAGATGTAAATATAATGCCGTCAAAACGTCAGATTTCTGTATCTACGTATTATAAAAAATATTTTGTAAATTTCGCTCACGATCATCAGCTACCATTGAAACTCGACAAAGATTATCATATTTTAGCTAAACACAAATGCCTAGCCAAATTAATCGCACCAACAACAGTTGATACATATCATTATTTTCATGCAAAAAATGAACAATTCCAAAATCGTAAACGTATTCGAATTTTCAACGACACCATCGATATAATTCAAGAAAGAGCCAAAATTACTATTTTCAGTAATTCACAGATGCCGGTAACAATCCAGAAAAACACTATTGTCGTTTATTTATCTAATCTTCCATCTACTAGTTATCTGTCACCAATTATTGCGTCATATCCAACTAAACCATATTTAAATACATTTACACACTGAACTGTAAATAATGCATCTAAAGCGATTACTGATGTCATTGAATCGTTGCTCTCCCATCTCACACTTCAACAAAACTACGACAAAATCTTTGAAATTTTACAACGTTATTCGACGCTTTTCGATACATTCAAACCTCGACAAGCTACCACATCTATTCAACATATAATCGATACCGGAAATCATCTTCCCATCACTACACGACCTTACTTTAAAACTATCGAGCAACGTAAAGATATTCAACAAGAGATTACAAACATGTTACGTGCGGGTATCATTATTCCGCCAACATTACCTTGGTCATCTCCAGTAAATTTGCTCAAAAAGCCGGATGGCAGCTTTAGATTTCTTCTTGATTACCGTAAACTTAATGAAGTAACCAAAAAAAACAGTTATCCACAACCAAATACAGAAGAGCTATTACAACGCATCGGCCGACATTCATGGTTCACCAAATTAGACTTGAAGTCGGGGTATTTTCAGATCTCCATACTACAGGCTGACAAGAAAAAACTGCGTTTGTCACTCAGGACGGCCTCTATCACTTTGAAGTGTCGCCACAAGGTTTAGCAAATGCACCGCCACATTTCAAATGTGTTGAAAGTATTCAACATGATAGTCGCAGTGGCTCTTAAATTTTTATCATTCGTGATATTAGCGGCAAATAAAGAGAGTGTCATGCACACGGGCAAGGTGTATCAAATATATATTTAATCATAGACTTTCTATTGATGCACACGCTTTGCAAAGAGTAAAAAGTGAGAAAAAGTCATGGTGATTCATTCTTTGTGCTCTCTGCTCGACTGAATGATGTTGTACTTACAAAACCTTTTAATATCTTGCTGCTTTGGACATTGACTACTCATGAGGGTTTTTTTCGACAAAATATCGCGATTAGAGGCGATATTTTTTATTATATCTCGATAGGTCTTAACTCTATCGAGACGCCACGTTAAACTGCTATAAAAAAATTTATCGCAATATACCATGCGGAATGAAGTTATCGGTTTCTGTCCGCGATGAAATTTTGCGATATAAAGATCTTCCACTAAGATCAAAATATAACAACATAACAACACAAAATATAACAAAAATAACACAAAGGGTCGAAATAAAGATCTTCACTATTGCGATAAAACATCTTATCAAGATAACAATCTATCGGGATGGTGTTGTTATTGTCGTGTTTTTCGAAATCTTGATTATTTATTGCTAGACAAGCATGCACGAAAAGAATCAATGAAACCATAAAAATGGAGATAAAAAGTTGGTGAAAGTCAGATATCCAATACAGGAGCTTGTTGTTGTTCTAGCGGTGCACAGTTTGGATCATATAAAATCAATCCTGTTGATTAACAAATCTTCAATTGTGATGAATCGGGTTTTGCTTATAAAACAGATACCACAAAAGTTATAGTATATAATCCGACAAAATTTCCGTGTAAGAAACAAGGTGGCACAGGAAAATCATATTATTCGGTATTATTTTGTGTTAGTGCCACTAGTGTTATTTTACCACCTTATATAATATACAAAGTCAAAAGATTGTATGTTGATTGGTGTCTTCATGGTAAGTTCACAAATTCGATTTAGACTATCTAACTTTTATATGTCATTTCTATAATGAATCTTCATTTCAGGACCATCAGGTGCCACATATAATACGTCGAAAATGGTTGGATGGAAGAAAATGTTTTTTATGAATGGTTTAAACATTTATTTATTCCCAAACTGCCACAACACCAAGACCAATTTTATTAATATTAGATGGTCATACTTCTCATCACAGCGTGTGTACAGTTGAATCAACCATTGAAAATAATATCATTTTATTATGTATACCACCACATTTGACGCATATTCTTCAACCCCTGGACGTTATATTTTTCAACCTATCATTCAGAAATATCGAGAAATTCTCAATGACTATTATCAAACATCTTGTTATAAGAAGGTTTCAAAGGTTTTTCCATCATTAATGGTAAAATTATTTGGATCGATTGCTGCGAAGAAAGCCAATATTATCAGAGAAAAACTGACTTTGAAAACGACGGTGAAACTTACTTGTTTACAAAAACTATGCTCTAAAGTTCAATCTGTCATAATGGAAACGTCAGATCCTTATCTGCTTGCTATCAAAGCACTGAAAGAAATTCAAGGTAGAAATTCATTTCTTTTGAACTCATAAATAAGTTATTTTTGTTATCTACACTTCCACTGAACAATTGGAATGAATTATTTATATTGAAAGATCGCTCTTCATCGAAATGTGTGTACTTTTCCTAGAGGGTCAATCTCTATGTGTATCCTTTACCCATTAATCGAGATTATTTTATTTTATAATATTACTCTATAAAAGAGAAATAATCATTTTCAAGGACTGCGCATAGCACTGTCTACCTACGTTTTGGAAAGCTTTCCTCATTTGGAAAATTGTTTTCCTATAAGAGTTTGAGTTCGACTCCGATGGAGTTTCAGTTTTCAAATAGCCCAAACATTACGATATCGTTCTTCATTTTGTTTTCAGTCCTGAACTAAGTGTTTTTGGCAAGAAAATTTTTTTCCTATTATTTTGTAGCAAAAAATACCTTTTGATGGACTGAAAAGTACAAACTACATGTAAAATGTTAAGGATAGACCACATAGATAATTACAATTCAGACATTCTGTTTTTTGAGTAATTTAGTTGATGATCGTAGCAATACTATTGTTAAAAAGGTATATCGAGATAAATGTGTTATCGTGTGGAAAACAAACAAACAATCGAAATATGAAATTGCGATTTTGGATTTAGTAACTTCTTCTTGAAAGAAGCGATAATAATAGCAGTTCCCATAGTTCCTAGTGTCCGAGGGATCTCAGAGTTCTTGCAATTCAGCTATTCTACAGAATTCCATAGAATTCTACGCTAGTACAGATACATTTATCGCTAACCAAGTTTTATTCAAGCGGAAATGTATAGAATTCTACGTATAGTACTACACGTAGAATTTTATAGAATACTAGGTTAGCATAGATATACTCTTTATTGACCAAGTTTCAGTCAAGCGGAAATGTATAGAACTCTATAGAATTCTACGTTAGTACGAATATAGTTGATTAGTGACTCACTATCATGCACGGCAGACCCGACCCGCCCCCACTCCCAGTCAGTGATAGAATTCTATACATTTCCGCTTGTCTCCCACTCGGCTAATATATTGTATATGTGTAGTAAGGTAGAATTCTATAGAATTCTAGGTTAACATAGATATACTTTTTATTGACCAAGTTTGAGTCAAGCGGAAATGTATAGAATTCTATAGAATTCTACGTTAGTACTATACGTAGAATTCTATAGAATTCTATACATTTCCGCTAGATAATTACAATTCAGACATTCTGTTTTTTGAGTAATTTAGTTGATGATCGTAGCAATACTATTGTTAAAAAGGTATATCGAGATAAATGTGTTATCGTGTGGAAAACAAACAAACAATCGAAATATGAAATTGCGATTTTGGATTTAGTAACTCCTTCGTGAACGGATTTTTATTTCTCCGCAAAGTAGCTTTTTGACGTATTTTTATCTTTTACAAATTATATTTCTCGAAAGCTCGTATAATCTCAAGTATTTTGGAATTTGACCCCTTGTGACATTCATTTACCTCTTTAAAAGAACATATTTAGAAAGCCCGCATAATGTTGTAACTAGTAAAGTGGTTTTAATATGGATTCAAGAGTATAGATCTCAATTCGGGTCTGTTGCACATCGTTTTGCTGGAAGTAAATTTGACTCATCTTGAGGGCGTATGTTTTGTATGAGAAATAAAATAATTTTGTAATTCGATTCAGTGTGATATTGCTATAGAAAAAGACAGGAAAGCGATTTAATTTATAAATAGAATAACAAAAATGCCCTTGAAATATATTTATTTTTATGACAGCATGATCATATCACGAATACAGCTACACGTGTGCAAAGTCAATTAAAAGGTCTTTTTTACTACCATAACAAACCTGAGAAATGCTAATGATCACTTTTAAATCGGGTTTAATCACGTCGTCAATTATCACTTGCAAAACGTTCACTTTATCCGAATAATTATTTGTGAAATTATGCGTTTTCTGGAGCTCTGATCGGCAGTTGCTTTCGTCGTGTGTTCATCTGGCCGTGTGCAAGTTGAGTTCCAACGACTCTATGTTTTAAGCCCCATTTAGTTACCATTCTTTGCTGGTTCTTAATCGGAGCACAAGGTCAAGGGGGAAACACCGCAATCCATACTCCACTACTCTGCGGAGTGACGAAGTGACAAGTGCTATAACTCTCTTCTCTCGCATTTGTTGATCAGCTGTCTTCTTGGGAATAGTATGCAGAGCACTAATGAACGCTAACAATCCAAGTTCTTGAAAGAAGCGATAATAATAGCAGTTCCCATAGTTCCCAGTGTCCGAGGGATGTCAGAGTTCTTTTCTACGTATAGTACTAGCGTAGAATTCTATAGAATTCTATACATTTCCGCTTGACTCAAAGTTGGTCAATATATTATATATCTATGCTAACGTAGAATTCTATAGAATTCTAGGTTAGCAACTAGGTCTGTACTAACATAGAATTCTACACATTCCCGCTTGACTCAAACTTGGTCAATAATAAATATATCTGTACTATCTTAGAATTCTATACATTTCCTAGATTTCTGTTTTGAGAATAACTCGGACTTATCATGTTTCAGCTGTGAATGAGTTGTTGTAGAATTCATAGGGAAAATGTAGAATTCTATAGAATTCTGTAGAATGTCTGAAATGTAGGAATTCTGCCATTGCTGTAGTGTCCCCATAATTCCTAATGTTCCCATAGTTCTTAATGTTCTTGTAGTTCCTTTAGTGCGCATAGTTTCTAATGTCCTAGGAACATGTTCATAAATTAAATCGCTTTCCTGTCTTTTTCTATAGCAATATCACACTGAATCGAATTACAAAATTATTTTATTTCTCATACAAAACATACGCCCTCAAGATGAGTCAAATTTACTTCCAGCAAAACGATGTGCAACAGACCCGAATTGAGATCTATACTTTAGAAAAGTGGCTGATTCTATAGAATAGATTCTTTCCTTGGCAAATCATTGTCGACGGCACCATGCGCCATTATTTTTGCATGGACCGCTAACTAAGCGTGAAAACGATGAAGTAAAAAAAAAAATACGTCGGCAGACATTTGTTCGTTTCTTACCACCATCATTGTCTCGATTTCCAATATTATAATACTGAACAGCGCCTAAACCGTAAGCTGCAACCGGAGCCCAGAAAACTGCTGTACTTTTTTTCACAGCCACAATAAATACAGCTTAAACTGTTAAGATAGCTATTACGAAATATCTCAAAACGAAGTTCTGTCGTGCACTCAAACACTACTAAAAATGAATTATAACAATGACAAGTGAATACAGAGTTAAAAAATATGCTGGAGAAATTTAAAAGACATACGCATGTAGAACAATAAAATGACTTACGAGAAGAAAATCAGCAGTTTAGGACAGTGCGTAACCCAAGTTTAAGGCCCATCAGAAACCTATTTCTGAAACTATAAGTCCGATCTTGGCCAAACTTTTAGGAGATGCTGACCTCATGAAAGTATGGTGAAGAAATTGTTTGTCTGGCTCCATCGTGCATGGTTCGTGAGATGTCGCCACAACAGTTACCAAATGGGGCTGTTTGTAGCTCCCAGAATTTTCAATAACGAAACGTTGTGAAGAGTTCAGAGTGGTCTCAAATTGACGAAAACACATGTGGCTAGAAGTTGACTGAGTCGGATTTTTGATATTGTCCTTTTCAAATTAACGGTCAGCGCCAAAAGTCCAAAATTCGAAAAGTCTCTTTAACTTTGGTAAAGATGTTTTTCTACTCACAAATCTAGACCAAATATCAAAAATCGGGCTCTATCAGCCTTTAGCCACAGGCGTCAGTTTTAATTTAAGACCTTCCCGAGCTCTCTGCGATGTTTCATTACCGAGAAATATGAGACCTACGAAATGGTGTTAGATGAAAGTCCCTTTAGAGATATGGTGGCGCTAGTATACGATGCATATTTTAGGGCTCCCAGAAAAAGTATCATAACTCTTGATTAGAACATCATTCAGAGCTGGGAAATATCTCATTTTGATCAGAAATGTTTGCTTTATTTTCTTGTGTACTAAAAGAAATTTGCGATTTTCTTCAATCAAAAGGCGGCTCTTTTTTCCGTTGATCGACTGGTAACCAATAAATCAACGCAAAGAAACCAATTATTGGTTTCTGTCAAACATTCAAAAAACTTTTGTTGTTATCTTTTTTTGTTACTATAGCCATGAGAGAAACAGTTACTCTCCGATAAAAAGAATGGAGGTGGAAAACAATATATGCTGTGACCGACATCGGACTTAAAGCTTAGCGAACTGGGACTGATTCGGACTTAGCTTCTAGTGGACTGGGACTAGAAAAGTACCGGGCTTGTCCATCTCTGAGACGTGCGCCAACTATCAGTGTTCCGTGACACCAACATTAGCGATGTAACTACCCAAATAGATTGTTAGCCATTTAAAACACGTACAACCCTCAAAAATACACCAATACGAAAACGTGTGTAACCATACACTCTTCAGCCAATTGATCCAACCGACCCAACTAACCCAATCTGACATGCTCTAAGCTATCTATGTTTATCGACCTGTGTTGATCCACAGACACCATTGATTAAATAATTCGACCTTTTTTGCTGAGACGAATTATTAAATAATTCGATACCTGCATCCAATGGAAACATCGTCTATCACTATCTCTCCCATTTACTTCTGTTTCAACAGTTTTCGGGGATTTTGAAACTGATTATGCTACAAGAATAGAAAACGTTCACTAACCAAAAAACGAAACCGAATAATTTTATGAAACATGAATCATCATGCAAGTCTTAACAAATTCTTAATACTAGAAGCCAGCAGAATAACTAATGTATATTTAATAAATAATGCTAACTTTTCTTCTCTTTCAATCTACTCGAAGTGCATCTAGCATTAAAATTCTCACTCCGAACCTTTAGTCAACTTTCATCAGAAATCCTCCAAACTCGAAAATATTCCTTGTGGCACCAGAAAAGTCGACTTTAACATTTTCCCAATATGACTTCAGATTCAACTTCCGAACCTCCGACAACCTTCTGTCAAGTTTTATAATGCCAGTAACGCATCAGTCATTGGACTTTGTTTGACTCAATCCAAGAAGCAGGCAGGAGAGAAGGTAATACTGTACTTTACGACACAAGTTGTGGCCTAGATCGCGTGATATTCGTCAGTCCTTGTTCTTGTTGGTGGTCGTTTGAAAAAGCATCCAACGTTTCCATTTAATGTTTCGACTAGTGCGCCTCTCTTTCAAAGCTACCAAACCAATTCCAAGTTCACTGCTTTCACGTTTTTATGGTAAATAACTTACTTTACCGCACTAATAACTTTCTCATGTGAGTTCTGACAACAATGGTATCTCAACCTTGAACTTAATCTGCCCGTTCTCTTTTTAATAGCCTTCTTAGAGGAGATACTACTTGAAGATACAGCAAACGAATTTCCTTCTTTGAATCCTTCGAATTTCTTCGTCATCGACATGCTCGTAGAGGAAAATCCTCGAGAACCAGAGTATAGAGTTATACGAAAGTATTTAGAAAAGAATTTACCTCCACTGGTAATGCTGCTGCTCGTTTGGATGGATCTCGAGCTGATGCTGCGAGTGAGCCACTTTTTTTCTGGTGGTAGAAGGCAGTTCTAAGTTTTTATTCGCAAACAAAAAGTCTACAAATAAAAAAAGTTCATTGTATTTTGACGCCGATAATAGTCTGGTTTTTTAAAGATCCTCCCAAAATCCATGATGATCTGATTACTGAAGTTTTTCGATCAAAAATGGATTTCACCAACCTTTCGCGCAAGCTAGTTCATATTTTTTACAGCTCTATATATTAATAGTAGTCAACAAAGCTGTGCGTATCAAGTTTTTTTTCTCTTATGCTATTCTTAGATTCGTATTACTTTATCTGTTCTTTTTAGACCTTTTTGCGTGCAACAGAAAACTTCGTAGAATTCAGCAGACGTGAGTGTATCAAGTGTGTGGGTGCATTGCATCCGCTCAAAACAGGATTAGAAAGGATACAGAAAAGCCTTGTGATGCAATGTCTTAAAGCAAAATTATTTTATTAGCTCTGAAGCTTGCAGAAACCATTTTTTCAACAATACGTTCAAACATTTTTTTGTTCTTTTAAGGTCAAAAACAAATAAAAGGAATTACGATCTCATCAGTACGTGGACATTTGCAAAATTATCTGAAAACTCATTGTAAAAAGTCATTTTTGTCTGAATATCAATAATACGGACGACAATCCTTCTGGGAAAAAGAGTGATTCTTTTCTCCTTTACTTGCACGCTGGGAATATTTGCTTCATATTTTAGTGTAGTATCAGCTTAGATTGTGTCTTTCTAGAATCTACAACACTCTGAAGGACTACCCCTTGGATCTGCCTGAAAAAGCTTTGTGAAGAAAAACTTCCCAAAACTCTGAGAAATATCACAGGGGTCAAAACGTGATCGGGATTTTGAACAATTAAGTAGTGAAAAATGTTTCTAGTAACTTCCTAATACAAATCTAATCTAAATAAGCCGAAAAAATTCGTGGGCAAAAAAATAGCCTTGGTAACACATATCCAATGAACGGCACAACGGTCAAAGCCCAAGATCTGTAGCTTGTTTAGTTTAAAACAATGTAGAAAACAAAATGACATTGTAGGGATGGGCCAATAATTTTGGGAGTCACTGTATATCTATTGTCGTATTTGATTTAAAAAAGAATGGATCAGAAATAACAGGATTTTTATGAATTCGAACGCGTATTTTATCATTATCATATGGCACATTTTTCGTATGTACGAATTCTACGTGTACGTAATCGATCTCTTTCATTAGATTTTGTTCATTTCGTGAGATTTTTAATTTCAATATTGTTCGTTTATCACGCATTTCACCTTTTCCATATTTAACAAATAAATTTTGACTATCAACTGAAAACCAAAATTTTTGTTCATCACCACCATGGCTTTGTACTAAATGTTCTTCAATATCTGTTTCATCGATCATGTTTTTTACAGAATCTTTTATTCTATAAATGACTGCTTTTTTTTCATTAGCAGATAATAGGAAACCATAATTTGTTTGAAATTTATTGTTCGATAATAAAATGGTAAATGGCAATGGTAGCTTTTGACTAATTTCAATTGTACCTTCACCTTTCGATACTAGATGATGACTACAATTATTTGCTGCCAATGAACACCAATCAATGTTGGCTGGTAAAACTTTATGCTGTGCATTAGTCACTAAAAAGAAAAGGTAGATACATATTAACAATTGCAAAAACTTGAAAAGAGAAACGCTACCAAAAAAGATGGATGCAAATCCTAAGCTGAAAACACTAATTTAACATGATAGATAAGCGCAACAAAAGTAGGTCATGCCTTGGCACAACGGTGGTATTCTGGTATCTTTTGAACAATTTTATTTTACAAAATTCAGAGGAAGAAAAAGACGCCTGTTAGCGAGAATGAATGGAATTTCTGTATTTGAAATGTGCGAGATATTTATAGGAATAGGGAGAGAAAAGAATGAATAATACCCGTTAAGAGAATTACTGATGACTCGATAGTAGATATGGATAGGACCAAGGTTTTTGAATCCCGTTTATGGGAATTCTCTAAAAATAACTTATATTTAAGTATCGAAAAAAGAAGAATTTTTAGCTGTTTTACAAAATTATCGAAAAATATTTCTTGATTCCAATACCGATCTCGGTCAAAAAGCCTTTTAATCACAGTCCGTGTCCCGCCTATGTCTACACGATAGACAATGCTACGAAGGTAGATAAGAGGGATGTAAGGTGCCCGCAATTCAAAAATGCAGCACTATCTTAGTTTTCGGTCGAAAGCTACATATTCAGATACTCCTGACTGCGCTGATTCCGAATATCACCTTTTTATTCGAATTTGATCAAGTTTTTGTGGAGAAATTCTCAAAATACTAAGAGCACCGAGAAAACAAAAAAATTGCATTACTCAGGGAAAACTTGAAACTTTACCCCCTTCCGTTCACTGTAATTTTTTGAATTTAATATATTTGGATTCTCCATCAAAAACTGAACCTAATCGTGTACCTTCGAGTCACAAAAAACAAAATACCTGTGTTCGACAATTTTGACAAGAGTAAGCATTCCAAAAAATGAGCTACCTCTCTCGCAAACTTATCTCCTCCCTGGTTTTGAAACTTTTCTCCGATCGTCATACGTCACTCGAATCGCCATTTAAAACTGAAGAAAAGTATGCATCGCTTTTTTTCCTGTTCTTCTTCTCTTGCTGAGAATACCGATTTTTTCCAAATCAGAGCCAGCAAAATAGGAATCTTGCCCCTAAATCACGCTTTTCTGCACTATAATTAAGTTATTGTTCAAAATAAATATCATATTCGGAGTCAGCATCAAAAACTGGATCGAACGATGTATATATCAAATAATTTGGTTGACTTTAACTTTTTAGTGACTTTTCATCTGAGAAGTGAGCCAGATTTTTAAAATACACATACCAATTAGAGGACTACTAATGACTCGACATGCAGTGATAAGAAGTATATCTATCGCACACAAAAACACCTATAGCATAATATGGATTCCGCTACTATTGTAACGACCACTACAGAACTGACGGTAGTATGTTTGTGTCAACGATAAGCGGCAACGTATGATGACTAACGAGCATTTAAGCAGGCTCTTGATCAAACGCTGTTCTAAAACCATCTAACGTTTTCCATTTTTTACCAAAACGGGGAAAAGGAAGAGAAAACTTTATTTAGGAGGACATGAGGACGAGTATGTGCAAGATGACGACAAATCGAAAAGTTGGTCCGATCGAGCTGAAAGTTTTACTTTCTCTGGTATCTATCTGAGGTTTTAAAATTTTTTTGCAAAATATGTCAAGGTAATTCTACGCAAAACGGACTTGAAAGTTTTGGAAAAAAGCTTCACATCATCATTGAAAATGAATAGAAAGCTAAAAGAAGAGGCATTTTACCTAAACGTTCACAACCTTAGAGCTGCTCTCTGCTTTTAAGTGTATTTTGCATAGAATTGTCTCTGCTGCGGAAGTATATATGGTTTGTTTCTATTACACAGTTCAGGTTTTAAAGGTTCACAGACAAATTCAAAAGCTTTTTTGATTTAACGGTTTTACACCCTAGATTTCACTTTCAGTTTAATGAAAGTGCCGCCATTTTATCAGCTTTTTATACGCTTTCGAATGAAATCTTGTTCTAAAGCATCAGACACAACAAATACGTCCATTTTATAGATAAAATACTAATTGTGGTGCACTTTTTGAGCAAAATTGATGGTACTTTTTGGAAAATTTTATTTTCTCAACAATTAAAAGGTTTCATATTAAAAAATAAATTTAAATTTGTAAGGGGAATACTTTCGAAGAGAAACATTTTGGGCTATGTGATTGGCTATGGTAACAATGCTCTATGAGATCAAAACGTTTTTAGTAAGAAGCATCACATGAGACATTTAAGGGTTTGAAAGCATGCCCTTTTGAGTGGCAGTGTCAGGAGAATTTTACCTACGGGTCAAGTTGTCTCGGGTTCGGGTCAACTCACGTTCGGATCGAGTTGGGTGCGGGTCATGTCTGGTTGACTCGCTTCTGTCTCTGCAGTGTTTGAGGAAAATTTTATTTTCTGTCTAGATTCATTCCCAAAACCTTTTGGAGACAATAGTGATCTTCCAAATTGTATAAGTAACATTTGGAAAAACATGGTTTTTTGATGATTCGTTTCCAGGGTTAAAAATAACATCAATTTCTCTGACAATCACGCGCATTTTCTTCCAGTATTATCCAGTATTATTATTATTACATGGCCGTCTCGAAAAAGGCTAAAGTGAGTTTTGAAAAAACCTTTCTGCAAATTCCCTGGAAAACATTCGGTCTGCAGATTAGCAAGCCCCTACGTTGGTTCAGTTTTGCACGCTCTTTTGAATGGTGTACTTAAAAGTTATGTTATTTTCTTAACTGGAAATTAAATTTTAACAAAAACGTTCGAATTAAGTTTTCTAAATCTAAGAAACACGCTTTTCAAAATGTTGCTTATACAATTTTGGAGGTAATTATTGTCTCCAAATAGTTTTTGGATGAATCCAGATAGAAAATAAAATTTCACGCCGACCTTCGGCCGACAAGATGAAAGCAAAAACCCATAGGTTTCAATTTTATATTATTCAATCTAAGTCACACTACTGACAAAAATTGACTTGACTGTGTTAGCAGCACATTATTTTTCTCACTGTCAAAGTGTGGAGCGCAGTATTTGGCGCTTCGGATATTAGATCGGGCACGAGTTTGAAGAAATATACCCTTATTGTCCATAGTCAAAGACTATTATAGCATTTATTTTGACATAACCATATGTGCAGCTTGTGAGTGAGTACAAAAGATTATTGAAAGATACCTATTTGTATTTATTGTATTTCAAACTTACTTGAGCATTTTTCATTGACAAATTTTTGTATACGATGATTCCAATTATCCGCAACGTAGAGATCACCATTCTTATCCAGTCTCACTTGAGTTGGGTGATTGAACTGATTTAAATTCATTCCAACGTCGTTATCTTTGAAATATACTGTAAAAGTAGAGACATTTTTCCGGTAGACAGATGATCTTACTTCCAGCGATTGTCATACCAGAACTTGCGTTTTGTTTCCACTGTTGAATGCGATTATTGTTCCAATCAGCAACATAAATATTACTATTACTATCGACAAAGACACCCCAAGGCCACCATAATGAAGCAGCATCCGTACCACTCATTCCATTTGGATTTCCTGCTACTGTTTGACCTAGATTTGAGCCATATTTAAACTTTTGTATTCGATGATTCCAGCTGTCTGTAATATATAAATCAGAGTTTTTATCAACAAAAATATGATGAGGATAGTTCAGCTGATTGACGCTTGATCCGGCGTGATCTGTTGTTCCCGCTACGACATTCAATGCATTTGATTTTAATGAAAATTTGACAACATGATGTCTTGCCCGATCGGACCAATAAAGTTGCTCCTGATTTTCATCAAAATAGAGTCCATAACATGCCCTGCAACCACTCACATGTGAATCAATGATTGTCTTCGCGAACGCGTTGTATTCTGGCCATTTTTGTATACGGTGATTATCGGAATCGAGAATATAAATATCTTTATTTTTTGTGACATAAATTGCACGTGGATGGTTTAAGTGTGATGATGAATTTCCTTTACCATTTCCGCCTGCAACTGTTATTCCGTTTTTGGATCCCAAAGGGAATTTCTGTATACGATGATTTCTTATATCAGCTACATAAACAGTATTTTCATTATCAATAAATAAATCAATCGGATCATTCAATTCTAATGATCCTGGACCATATAATTTTGACACAATTCCAGCTAAATTTATTTCATTTTTACACCATCTAGAACAGGCTTTAGGGCCCATATCACGTCCGATAGTCACGTTTAATAACGCTAAACAAAAGAAAAGAACGAATCATTATTTCCATTAAAACCCGAAAAATTCTGGTCACACCTGATTTTCGGTGAACTCATTCATTCCCAAGCAGAACGACTTACGACGTCGTTAGTGGGCATTTACCGGTAGGTAGGTAGATGGAATGAATTTTTTTGTCATTAAAAATGATTTTTCAACCTTTAAATGTCTTTCTATATCTCAAAACGGTATTCTGGCAAGAAAACAACTTATGCTGAAGATCTTTCTGTTTTTGGCAAAATCTGTGTGAAACGGATACGAGACGAAATTTTTTGACACGACAAAAATAGTAGAGAAAGTAATTATTGTACATCACTTGATGCAGTTTTTGATTCCAAATACCATATCCTTTTGCTTAAAAATGCTTCAGAAACAGAAAAAATAGATTTTTTGTAAAAAAGCTAGAGATTTTCGAACATGCTGCTGTCATTAGAAAACTAGGTACTTTTGCCGCACTGCATGAGTACTCATGACTTTTTGTCAAACTAAACTAAACTAACTAATATTTTCTTAAGCAGAACACATTTTAAAATTCTTTTCGAAAGTATGGTTTTGAAGAGATCTTTCAAAACCCAATACATTTCTCCAAAGCTGAAAATGGCAGCGTGGCGAATGTTTTACGTGAGCCCAATCTATTTTCTTCAAAATGGGAGTCAAGTGAGGCATTGATTTCCAGCGGTTCGAGTGTGGTATTGGATCGCCGCGAGCACCAGAGCTGGCACACTTGAGAGAGTCATGAAACCGCATGAAACATACGCACTCAACCACGCTGAATCTGGTGGCAGTGTTTGCTTCTGAAAAAGGATTCAAAAGTCTCGCAAAAACTGAGTTTTATAAAAAATATGTGTTTTCAAGTTATTTTCACCTAATATTAAAATATTCTTAGCCCAATTAAAAACCATCAAAAACAGCTAAAAACGTCAGGATGTACGATGTGTATGCTATTCTATATCCTTTTAATGAGAAATCCACAAAAATAAATTTACAAAATTTTATTGTTTTCCAAAAAGGCGTCTGAAAAATCGTGAAACAAAAACATGTTTTTTCTATTCTTTGGATCATATTATCATGTTCACATACAAAATTAACCATATTCTGAGGGCTTCAGCTGTTTCTGTTGTTTTTGCATTCAGTAAGGAATATTTTAATATTAGTCTAAAACAACTTGAAAAGCCATATTACAGTTCGTTTTTGCGAGATTTCTGAACTCTTTTTCAAAAGCAAACAGTGCCACAGATTCAGTGTGATTAATGGCGTATATTTCATATGATTTCAAGGCTCTCTCAAGGTACTTTCTTTCGCTACTTTTGGTCAACGAAAACCGGAGGTTTCTTCCCTTTCTAGTAGAAAATAATTCATGAAATAGAAAAATATCTTCTATTTTGAAAGGGATAGCAGGTCTACTATATACCATAGTAAACAGAAATACCTTTAGTTTTAAATGATTATCAAAGATAACTTACCGGGACTGCATTGAGTATTATCAATTGTAAACTTTGCTATTCGATGATTCCAGCTATCAGCAACATAAACGTTTCCGTTTCGATCAAACCTCAGTTGATGTGGATGATCTAATACATTCGTCCCATCTTCATTGAAAGATACAAATAATAGGTAAACACAAGGCACTCTTGTCTTAATTTCCAACCATTCTTTTCTGCCTTATTAAAGTTGGTCTATGTCTTTTGTATCCGGGCTGTAGCGAACAGCTAGGTACTTCCATGCAGCACGCTTTTTACAGAACATCAGTCTATCAAGATGATCCTATGCTAGTTACCCCTTATTAACTTGTGTAGTCATTTATCAAAACAGTGTGCAGAAAGTGGTCGGTGCACCTCACAAAATTGACTTCTTTTTAAAAATTGAGTATAGAATGAGATCGTTATACTATAACTAAATATTTTTGAAATATTTGAGTAACTCATTCGACAGGGCTCAAAAGGTTGTAATATGACCTTAGTTTCAAGGTTACTACTGTGAGCGTGTGTGATTTATCCAGCTCAAAAATATCTGAAATCAAACAACAAACTCACAGTCTTTTGGTGAATTTTTGAGTATCGAAATTGAAAAAATATTATTGGTTCTTTTGAGATTGTTTGACTTTCAATGGTTCCACTAAGCCTGATTTCCACCCGTTCTGCTGTGTTTTGAGTTCCGAAATTCTTATGCCTGCTGAGTGACAATCGATACTTATGAGTAGCACGAGAACCACAACAAGTCATGCTCAATCAATGTCTCAGATTCTTTTCAAAGTAGTCTCATCGTGTTCAGCATATGTGGAAACCTACAAA